TATAGCCACGTCAGAAAGTTCTGCACACGGGAGTTTTTTAAACAAAGCTGTCAGGATCTAGGATTTGAGCCAGATCCACGCAAGAATTTGGGTGTCAATGGTGTTTGATAGCATTTCTCGTATACAACGTACAACAGCCAACGTCACAGCCAATCACGTGAACTCTGCGGGTAATCGATGTTGATGGGACACTCGGGTGATCTCTAACTTAAAGCTGTAGCTTGAGCGGATCAACAAGTAAACTATCTCAAGGAGAGTTGGAGATGGTGGACAGCTGAGGCTTACATCAGAGACCAGGGGAGTTTGCAGAATGACAAGTCCGTGTCACATCAGACAACTCTCTATTATCCTTCTGTTTGTTTGGGCAATGTTCCATCCATAGTTCTTCATGACACAATAGAATACCTTATGTGGAATGTAATGGCTCCGCAGAACAGACATTTCCGCAACAAGGTAAGCTTGGTTGCGCATATTATTCTCATAAATTCTTTGGATTGCATTATTTTCCTTATTAGGTCCATATATTGTGTGTATTAATTTCATAAATTGCTCTAATTAAACCTGCAGATTGCTTTCATTAATGCCGTAGATTATGGATTCTAAGGAGTACATTTTTAATTCCTTGTCTTGTGAAAAATCATTCTTACTAGAATTATTCACCCTGCGTATTTTATTAAATATATATATATATACATACACTCACCGGCCACTTTCATAGGTACACCAGTTCAATTGCTTGGTAGCACAATTTGCTAATCGACCAATCACATGGCAGCAACTCAATGCATTTAGGCATCTAGACGTGGTGAAGACGACTTGCTGAAGTTCAAACCGAGTATCAGAATGGGGGAAGAAAGGGGATTTAAGTGACTTTGAACATGGCATGGTTGTTATTGCCAGACTGGGTGTTATTAGTATTTCAAAAACTACTGATCTACTGGGGTTTTCTCTAGCCATCTCAACCATCTCTAGGGTTTACAGATAATGGTCCAAAAACAGAGAAAATATCCAGTGAGCCGCAGTTGTGTGGAGGAAAATGCATTGTTGATGTTAGAGGTCAGAGGAGAACAGGAAGACTGGTTGCTGTGACATTCAGGTGGTAGGGTCAGAATTTGGCGTAAACAATGTGAAAGCATGGATGAATCCTGCCTTGTATCAATGGTTCCAGCTGGTGGTGGTGTCATGGTGTGGGGGATGTTGTCTTGGCACTAGCAAGGTGTGCCTAATAAAGTGGCCGGTGAGTGTGTTTATATACAGGTGAAACTCGAAAAATTTGAATATCGTGCAAAAGTTCATTTATTTCAGTAAAGCAACTTAAAAGGTGAAACTAATATATGAGATAGACTCATTACATGCAAAGCAAGATAGTTCAAGCCATGATTTGTCATAATTGTGATGATTATGGCTTACAGCTCATGAAAACCCCAAATCCACAATCTCAGAAAATTAGAATATTGTGAAATGGTTTGTTAGCTCTTACGTGGAAGCACTGACTAGACTAGATACTGAGCCATGGGGATCAGAAAAGAACTGTCAAAAGTCCTGCGTAACAAGATAATTGAATGGAACAAGGTAATGGAACTTTATAAAGATGGAAAAGGACATAAAAAGATGTCAGCTGCAGATCGGTCAAGGTGCCGATGCTGGCCCATATCTACAGCCAAAAGCACCTACAATGGGCATGTGATCATCAGAACTGAACCACGGAGCAATAAAAGAAGGTGGTCTGGTCTGATGAAATCATGTTTTCTTTTACATCATGTGGATGGCTGGGTGCATGCGTGTCACTTATCTGGGGAAGAGATGGCAGCAGCATGAAGTATGGAAAGAAGGCAAGTTGGCGGAAGCTTGTGATGTTTTGGACTATGTTTTTGCGGGAAACCCTGAGTCTTGCCATTCATGTAAATGTTACTTTGACGCATACCAATTCCCCTTCCTGAAGGCCCTATGCCAACCTTCCCTCACCCAGCAGCCTTATGCAAACCTCCCCTTCTGCAGCAGCCATATGCCAGCCTCCCCTCACCCAGCAGCCCTATGCCGTCTCCCCTAATCTAGCAGCCCTACGCCAAATTGTCCTCATCTGCCAGCCTTAAGCCAACCTCCCCTCACTCGGCAGCCCAGAGCCAACTTCCCCTCACTCGGCAGCCCATTGCCAACTTCCCCTCACTCGGCAGCCCATTGCCAACTTCCCCTCACTCGGCAGCCCATTGCCAACTTCCCCTCACTCGGCAGCCCAGAGCCAACTTCCCCTCACTCGGCAGCCCATTGCCAACTTCCCCTCACTCGGCAGCCCATTGCCAACTTCCCCTCACTCGGCAGCCCATTGCCAACTTCCCCTCACTCGGCAGCCCATTGCCAACTTCCCCTCACTCGGCAGCCCATTGCCAACTTCCCCTCACTCGGCAGCCCAAAGCCAACTTCCCCTCACTCGGAAGCCCAAAGCCAACTTTCCCTCATCCAGCAGCCCAATGCCAACCTTACCTCACCCAGCAGCGCAATGCCAACTTCCCCTCACTCGGCAGCCCAATGCCAACTTCCCCTTACCCGGCAGCCCAAAGCCAACTTCCCCTCACCCAGCAGCCCAAAGCCAACTTCCCCTCACCCAGCAGCCCGATGCCAACCTTACCTCACCCAGCAGCACAATGCCACCTTCCCCTCACTCAGCAGCCCTATGCCAACCTCCACTCAACTAGCAACACATTTGAGATCTTGACAGTTGTGTTATGTTATAGAGCAGCAATCCAAATCTCTGGTGGTCCGCCATGCCCCCTGCACAGTCACAACTACTGTGCTGCAATCAACAATGCTCATGCTACCTGACCATCATTGTTGATTGGAGCTCTGCACCGCTCTACTGTGCTGAAGCGTCCTCATTTGGAATACATTTGGAATACTCAGCTTTCCCAGGAACTCACTGGAAGAATTGTGGCATCACCCTTGTGGGCAGAACCCAGGTGTAACATAAGCATATTTTCTGACTTTTTTTCCATAACTATTTTTTTTTTAACAGGTATAATGCAGTGATTTTTGAGGAGGGGAGAGAGCACTATGCTTTACATCTGCCTGGAGCTCAGATTCAATTTCAGAGATTGCTTTCATTAATTCCAAAGGTTGTTGTTACTCCTGTAGACTCCCGTGTACCTCCTAATGGCTTCAATTAGTTCCATAGGCTATAGATGATATTCATATAACATTGATTAAACTCTCCTAGGAGCCTTCCTCCTGGCAGCAGCGTTGTTGCAGAAAAACCGCCTGACGCTTGTAAAAGTATCCTGACGCTTTTACAAGTGTTTAGGCGTGTTTACAAGTGTCAAGTGCTTCGGCGTTAATTTCATTGGCCAAATAATAATTCTAATTTGTTCTGGCCATTGAAATTAACTAACGCTCAAGCGCTAAATGCGCCCAGTGTTAACACGTGTTTTGCTGCATTTAGGCTTTTTTTTTCTGCAAAAGCGCTGCTACTTCTGGATACACTGGCCCTGGGTTTATTTTCTGCTGGTAAACACTACTGCCACTAAAAGCTTCTAAAATTCTAACCCCAGACACTACTAAACAACTCATTCACTCCCTTATTATCTCACAACTCGACTACTGTAACTCCCTCCTCACCGGATTACCTCATCACAGGCTATCCCCGCTTCAGTCTATCCTGAACTCAGCGGCCAGACTCATCCACCTTACCAACCGCTCCGCTTCTGCCACCCCCCTCTGTCATTCCCTCCACTGGCTTCCGATTGCCCAATGCATAAAATTCAAACTACTAACCATGACGTACAAAGCTATTCATAATACTGCCCCAAACTACCTCACCGACCTGATATCCAAACACCACCCAACACGTACTCTTCGCTCCTCACAAGACCTCCTACTCTCTAGCTCCCTGGTCTCCTCCTCCCATGCCCGACTCCAGGACTTCTCCAGGTCTTCCCCCATCCTCTGGAACTCACTACCCCAATCCATCAGACTGTCACCTACCCTCCTCACCTTTAGGTGCACCCTGAAAACCCATCTCTTCAGGGAAGCCTACCCCGCCCTCACCTAACAGCCGATCTCCTCCACTCCTCCTACCACTCCATCCCCCACAGCCATTTCCTCCTGTACCACTATCCCCTCCCTAATAGATTGTAAGCTCGAAAGAGCAGGGCCCTCGAACCCCTCGTGTATTGTATTGTTACTGTATTGTCTCGTGTACTGTCTCCCACTATAATGTACAGCGCTGAGAACTTTTTGGCGCTATATAAATACTGTATATTAATAATATGTGTGCATGGACACATAGAATAACATGGAGGGGCATTTTTGGTAGCAGTAAGGCCTCATGCACACAGGGCTTTCTTACAGCCACTTTTAGGGGCGTCAGGTGTTTTTTCTATCTACTGTTTCCAAACACCCCTCCATGTTATCCTATGTGTCCGTGCACACATAGACTTTTAGAAGCTTTTAGTAGCAGTAGTGTTTACCAGCAGGAAAAAAACCCAGGGCCAGTGCATCCAGGAGCAGCAGCATTTTGGCAGAAAAAAATGGCTAAACGTGTCTAAATGCAAGTTAACGCTAGGAGTATTTAGCGCTTGAGCGTTAATTAATTTCAGTGGCCAGAATAAATTATTATTCTGGCCAATAAAATGGATTAATGACCGAGCGCTTGACGCTTGTAAACGTCCCTAAACACTTGTAAAAATGTTAGATACTTGTACAAGCGTCAGGCACTTGTTTCTAAAAAATGCTGCTGCCAGGAGGAAGGCTTCTAGGAAAGTATATTTAACCACTTGCCCTCCAGAGGATTTACCCCCCTTCCTGACCAGGCCATTTTTTGCATTACGGGGCTGCGTTGCTTTAACTGACAATTGCGCAGTCATGCAACGCTGCACCCAAATTAAATTTGCGTCCTTTTTTTCTCACAAATAGAGCTTTCTTTTGGTGGTATTTGATCGTCTGTGCGGTTTTTATTTTTTTATTTGCACTATAAAAAAAAAAGTCTGACAATTTTGAGAAAAAAACAATACTTTTGACTTTTTGCTATTAAACATGTAAAAAAAAAAATCATTATTTTTACTAGTAATGGCAGCGATCAGCGACTTATAGCAGGACTGCAGGACTGTGGCGGGCATTCTGACACTGGGGGGAACTGGCTTAGTGTCACTGACATCTCCAGTGACACCAATACAGTGATCAGTGCTAACAAAAAGCACTGATACTGTACTAATAGCACTGGGCATGAAGGGGTTAACATGTGGGGCGATGAAAGGGGTAACTGTGTGCTGTTTTACTGTAAGCTGTGTCTGTGCTTTCAACTGTAAGCACACTGCTTTGTATGGTTATGCTATGCAGAGCCATACAGAGCAGTGTGCTGGAGCTGACAGGTAAGAGAACTGTATTGTTTACATACAGTTCTCTCCCTCCATCGGTAATATTTGGCAATCACCAGGTGCTGGCGAGTAATCACCGGGTGGGACCCGGTGATTTACAGCCGAGGCTGCGAATAGCGGCGTGGGTAGGGAAATGCAAAATCACGTATATATATACATACTCCAATTTTGTAAGCCTCCTCAAAGTGTTGTACCAAGAAAGGGTTATTGTTTTTTCTAAATTATAGTGAGGTTTTTTTTAAGGGTGCAGCTTAGGTTTAACAAATGGTTTCTCAAGCTACCTCCATCATTAACACAAATGCATTTAAACAAGCATTCCTGGAAAATAAGCAAGTGAATACTTACCATTCCCACTGTCCACACCACTGCAACGCAACACTGTTTAGTAGCTATGTTTTTCCATAAGAAAACTGACACTTCCAGGAGTGTCGATCTCCTGGGTATCCTTCAGCTCTTAGGCTGGGTATGGATAGTTATTTTTTTTTCATTCAGCCGGCAAGCTGAAAAAAAAAAGAAAGATTTCCCTATCCCCTGTGCTGGGACATTGTATTCTGGTAACAGGAAAGCAGATCAGAATACACTGATCAGAGGCTATAACCTATTGGCTGCAGCTGCTGATAAATAAAAGTTTTCCATTGTGTCTAACAATCGACTCCTTCAAACAGGACCACACACACACCAAAATTCGTCAAGCCCCTGCTAAACCGGCCAGATATTAGAACAGTGTCCTGGTGTTACCTATTCCATGTAATTCCATTTTATTATTTATATCTTGATATTTCTTCCAGTAATTCCATGTCTCCATGCATTTTGTCTTTACTCTTTTGCGTTCGAAATGGTTAGTAATTCACCATCATGGAATGAAAAAATGTGTTTTGAATGCCTCTCTTACTACAAATGACGTTTGCAGTTGTTATTACTAGAATCCATCAGCGAAATGACTTTTCTAGGGAATTAATCTGACTGCTGTTGACGGGGTCAAGAACTAATTTTCCCACTGTGACAATAAACTGACAGCTGCTTCAGTGGGGATTTTTTTTGGTATTGTTTTGCCTTCTTCTGGATCAACGCAAGATTAAGTTGGACCTGATGACTTTTTTTGTCCGGGGAGTGAGAAAGATTGTAAATATTAGTTTCTGGAAGCTGATAAGTAATAGTAATGGTATTAGTATTATTTCTACTATTATCTTTTGCTTACGTAGTGCCATGATCAAGGCTTTATTTACTGTAACTTTTTCCAGCCGCTGCTGTGTAAAATGGAGCTTCTAAGTCTCCAGTCACACCGGTGCGACTTGTCATGCAATCTGATTCAAATCGCATGACAAGTTGCACCCTATTGTCCACAGTGGAAGCGGTCATATTGGTGCACACCATCAGAGTCACACCAATATTGAAAGTACGTCATGCACTACTTTGTGCAAGTCCACCTTGGTTAGACCTTTGTGCATGAACTCGTACAGATGTCATACAAGTCGCACCTGAAGTCGGACTGGCATCCGACTTTGAAATGGTGCAAATTCTAGTCGCACAATTTCAAATGCAGATTTGGTGTGACCGAAGACTAAATCATATTGTGAACACTGTTCAGAAGCTATATATAGAAATACAATGTAACAACATTATAGTTACATTGTATTTACTTTGCTTCATCCAGGTGCAGATCAAACATATGATAATATTAATAGTATAATTAACCACATCACCACCACCCTATAGCAAATATACTGCTACAGGGCGGCAGGGGTGTGCAAAATCACATACATATATACGTGATTTCGCATTTCCAGGTAGAGGGCGCCCAGTGATTACTGAGGCTCTCCAACGGGGAGGAGGGCTGCTTTGTTTACTAACAGTCCTCCTCTCTGTCGGCTTCAACACACTGCTCTGGATGGCTGTGCATAGCACAGCCATCCAGAGCAGTGTGATTACAGTAAAGCACCAAACCCTCCCGTAAAACACTCCCAGCACACAATTAACCCTTTGATCTCCCCTCATGTTAACCCCTTTCTACCCAGTGCCATTAGTACAGTGTCATAGCTTTTTTTAGCACTAATCACTGTATGGTGTCACTGGGGATGTCAGTGACACCAAGTCAGTTCCCCCCCAGTGTCAGAATGCCCGCTGCAGTTCCGCAATAAGCTGCTGATTGCTGCCATTATTAGTAAAAAAAAGTTCCACTATTTATACCACCATTTGTAAACACTATAACTTTCACGTAAACCAATTAATTTACACGTATTGGGATTTTTTTTAGCAAATACATTTTGGCCTACACATTTTTTTGAAATTAGGTTTTTAAAATTTTTTTACTGGGCATGTTTAATAGCAAAAAGTCAAAAATATTGTTTTTTTTTTTTTTCAAAATTGTCAGTCTTTTTCTGTTTATAGTGAAAAAAATAAAAACCGCACAGGCAATCAAATACCACCAAAAGAAAGCTCAATTTGTGGGAAAAAAGGACGTAAATTTTATGTGGGTGCAGTGTTGCATGACAGCGCAATTGTCAGTTAAAGTAATGCAGAGCTGCAGCGCAAAAAATGGCCTGGTCAGGAAGGGGGGTAAATCCTCTGGAGGGCAAGTGGTTAAATACTGTATTATTTAGTGTCATTATAGATTGGACAAATATAGAATAAAATGTTTAATTTGTATCTACAGTAACACACTTGTTTAAAACTGATGTTGATCAAAGTAGAAAACAATGCACATTTAAGTTTTGTTTGAGTTTTTTTTCTAAAGATTGCATAGGTAATAAAATAATAAGACAATATCACCAAGGTAAAGCCGTGTTTGAGCCCCCCACAAAACCTAATATATGTATTAATTCACTAACTAGTAATGACAACGATATGGCCGGATCAACAGGCTGAAATGTGAAAACTGCTTTGGTTTGTGAGGGGTGTACAAGTATGAGAACTGAAAGAGTTAAACCCACCTTGACGTCACTTCCCCCAGTGACTCCAATATATTGTGTAAAATTGTCCCAAATTTTTGCCAAATTTAAGAGCCAAAACTTACAAACTTACAAGTATTGCCAAAATACAACCACTGTGGTCACAGCAGGATCATTGTGAGAAGCAGTGTAGCCCCTATGGCAGGGTTGTTGTGATCTATGTAGCCATGTGATCTATGTAGCAGGAGCAGTGTGGCATGTGTGGAAGGAACAATGTGGTCTCTGTGCCAGAAGCAGTTTGATCCCTATGGCAGGAGCCATGTGATATCTGGAAGGAGCAATGTGATCTCTGTAGCAATAGCAGAACAATTGTATTTCTATGGAAAGAACAGTGTGGCCTTTGTGGAAAGTATAATGTGGAAGGTACAATGTGGTCTCTGTGGAATGAATAATGTGGAGGCTGTGGGCAGGAGTATTGTGGTCTGTATGACAGGAACAGTGTGTTCTCTATGGCAAGATCAGCGTGACCTATGGAATGAGCAGCGTGATCGCTGTGGAAAGAGCAGAGCAGTTTGATATCTGTGCCATGATCAGTGTGGTCTCTGTGGAAGGAACAATGTGGTCAACCACTGTGGTCACTTATGGTAGGTTCATTGGCGGGATTAGTGTGGCCTCCGTGGAAGTAGCAGTTTGATCTCTCTGGCATGAGCAGTGTGGCCTCTGTGGAAGGAACAATGTGGTCTCTGTGGAAGGAACAATGTGGTCTCTGTGGAAGGAACATTGTGGTAACTGTGCAGGAGCATTGTTGCCTCTGTGGATGGAACATTGTGGTCTCTGTGGCTGGAGCAGTATGGCCTCCGTGGAAGTAGCAGTTTGATCTCTCTGGCATGAGCAGTGTGGCATCTGTGGAAGGAACAGTGTGGTCTCTGTGGTAGGAACAGTGTGGTCTCTGTGGTAGGAACAGTGTGGTCTCTGTGGAAGGCACATTGTGGCTTCTGTAGCAGGAACAATGTGGTAACTGTTGCAGGAGTGTTGCCTCCATGGAAGTAGCAGTTGGATCTCTGGCATGAGCAGTGTGACATGTGGAAGGAATAGTGTGGTCTCTGTGGTAGGAACAGTGTGGTCTCTGTGGAAGGCACATTGTGGCTTCTGTAGCAGGAACAATGTGGTAACTGTGTGCAGGAGCATTGCAGTCTCTGTGGAAGGAACAATGTGGTCTCTGTGGCAGGAGCAGTGTGGCCTCTATGGAAGTAGCAGTTTGATTTCTCTGACATGAGTAGTGTGGCATCTGTGAAAGGTACAGAGTGGTCTGTGTGGAAGAAACAGTGTGGTCTCTGTGAAAGGAACAACATGGTAACTGTGTGCAGGAGCATTGTAGTCTCTGTGCAGGAGCAGTATGTCCTCTGACCAGTGTAGCGTCTATGGACCATGTCCTCTGTGGACCAGTGTAGCGTCTATGGCAGGAGCAGTATGTCCCCTGTTTGGACCAGTGTAGTGTCTATGGCAGGAGCAGTATGTCCCCTGTTTGGACCAGTGTAGCATCTATGGCAGGAGCAGTGTGGCCCCTGTGGAAGAAACAATGCAGTTTCTGTAGCGGAAATAGCATAACCTCTATTTTAAGGTCGGTGTGGCCTCTGTGGCAAGATCAGTATGCCCTTTATGGCAAAAGCAGTATGACCTCAATGGCTTCAATGGCAGGTGCAGTGTGGCCTCCCTGGTAGAAGCTTTGTGGCCTCCCTGGTAGTAGCTTTGTGGCCTCCCTGGTAGGAGCTTTGTGGCCTCCCTGGTAGTAGCTTTGTGGCCTCCCTGGTAGGAGCTTTGTGGCCTCTGTGTGGCCACTTGAATTCAGTGGTGTTTTTAAAAATCCAGCTGTCTGCCTCATCTCCTTTTCTAAGAAAAGCAAAATGAAATGTGGTGCACTTAGGGCTCTTTTACACTTGCAGTTATTAGTAACACACATTAATGCGCCTACCACTTTATCATGCATTTTTTTGTGTTTTTGACTCTTTTTTGATGCTTCACTGAATCTTGGCAAATGCCATCTGTGTAAAATACAAAGTGAAGCTGACTCTGAAGCACCCCTCTATTGCTACAGGTGTCGGCAGGGAGCTCTGTGATAGAGCTTTTTGCAGCAGCAATGTATTGTATCATCTGTGAAGCAAAGCAAATCAAAGAAACACAAACTCAAAAGTGTGTACAGCTATTACTTATTAATTGGCATTTATCCCTGGTTCACACCGATGTGGCTTTGAAATCATGCTACTTCAGTGCGATTTCAAAGCTGCAGATCAGTGCTAATTGCACCTCCGATTACATAGCGGCTTGCGACTTCGTTTAACAGAAGTCTATGCAACTCGCAATGAAATCAGAAAAAAATAGTGCAGGAATCTTTTTCAAAGTCGCTGCGTTATGAGTGGCGGCAGTTTGAACAGTTCCATTGACAGCAATGGGGTGCGACTTGTCATGTTATTTGAAGCTGCCAAATCGCATAACATATCACAGCGGTGTGAATCAGTGCTTCCACAAACATGGGTCAAATGCCACAATTCGGAGCAAGTGTTCGCGAGGCCTTACTGTATGTTTTTGAATACCATGTTGAGGCCTCATAAGAATCATGTACAAGCTCCCATCACAAGGGTGGGCAGTTTTTTTAACGTAGCCATTAAAATATGGCATTTTATTTAGTCAGGTTTCACTGATTTTTGACTCCCATGGTATAAAAAAGTATCAAAAGGCCAGAGGAGAAAGTGAAATGCTTAAAAAACGTAGTAAATGTTGTTTTATTATTGCAGGCACTTATATAGTGCTGTCAATTTACGCAGCGATTTACATATATACTGTACATTCACATCAGCCCCTGCCCTAACTCACATTCGTACATACTAGGGCCAGTTTACTTACCAACATGTTTTTGGAGTGTGGGAGGAAACCGAAGGAGAACATGCAAACTCCAGGCAGGTGGTGCTGTGGTTGGAATTTGAACCAATGATCTTAGTGCTGCCAGACAGCAGTGCAAACCATTTATTTGCTGTGCTGCCATTAGTATAAAAGAGGGGCAAAAAGTAAAAATTAAAATTTTTAAATCTATGCACTGGAAATAATGAATTAGTCCAGGTTCACATATGTTCGGGCCAGTTGTGGCGTGATTTCAACCCCGTCCAGTGCGACTTTGTTTAGCAGTTCAGGTGCGATTCCAATGCAAATTGTTAAAGTGTATGACATTAGAAATCGCACCTGAACCAGGCTGAAAATCGTACCGGTCACACTGCGGCCAACCCACGTGTACTGTATGTGAACCAGCTCCATAGAAAAGGCTGCAGGATCAAATGTCATGAAAATCTGATGCGGTTCAAAACACATCCAATTGGCATATACAGTATGTGAACTGGGTCTTACCAAAATCCACGGTGGTAAAAAAAAAACAAGTGGCATTTCAAAGATGGAAAGTTCATTTAGTCATTTATAATCTGGAAAAATGTAGTTATCAAAATGGGGGATAAAACGCTATAAAAAGATATAAAATTCCAAAAAGATTCACTTTATAAACAGGTAGAAGGGGTGAAATTATACATTTGTATTGATTTTGATATATGAAATAAATATTCACAAACCCTTAGGACCCTTTTTTGGCTTTGGATAGAGTGGGGAAGGATTAGAACCCCTGTCTAATCTCAGATCAGAAAATCGTACAAAAAAATACCACTTTTGAAGCGATCGTATGATAATCTGATCCTTAGTACACAGCTTGCGTCCAGAATTATTCGAAGGGACAAGCAAGAAATATTTTGTCGTACAATTCCAGATCGTATGATTTTTGTTTAACCAGTTCCACGCCACCCTATAGCAGAAATACTGCTACAGGGCAGCACAGGTGAGCAAAATCACATATATATATATACGTGATTTTGCATTGCATTTTCAGGTAGGGGGCACGTGTGCCCTTTACCCGTGCCGCAATTTGCGGCCTCAGCTGTCAATCACCGGGTCCCAGCTGGTGATTACTTGCCAGCACCCGGTGAACGCCGAGTATCTCCTATGGGGGAGAGACCTGTGTATAAACAACACAGATCTCTCCCCGT